TAACATTTCTCTTTAGTTTTGTCCAAAGAGCCATTTGACCCATCTTTTCCCTCTCCCATTCAGTTATTAATCTCAATTATTTTTAGAAGTTCTGAGGCTTTTTCATACTGGTTGGTTATTTACTCATATTTTCAAACGTGTATTCCTTAAAACATATTCAACATAGTTTATATTCTGTGTCTAATTCTAATGTCTTAAGTCTTTACGGGTCAGATTCTGCTTGCTCATGCTTATAGTGTTTTGTTTCCACATGTACCTTGTGGGTTTTGACTATTAACTCGTTCCTCAGACTTTGATCTATGGAAATTTCTTCAGAGAGAATTTGCAAAGATTTGTATTTGTTTCTACCGTTCACCTGAAGTCACTACCAACAGTGGACCACTTTAAAATCTCAGCCTCTGTTTTTTCAGATTTTAAACCTGTTAAAGGCTTTGCTAGTAGTTACATATTCTTAGGGTAGATTTATTTCCCCTTTCCACCCAACACCAAGGTCTAGATGAGCAGATTTCCTTGCTAGCTCTTTCTTTCTTCATGGTACCCTTTTCCACCCTGACGCTTGAAAGTGTAGCCTCTTTGGGTCCTAGATTTTAGGTGAGCACTCAGCAACGTTGGGTGGGCCTTAGATATCCTGTCCTGTCTCTCTCAACTTACCCAACAGTCATACAGGAGCTCAAGAGCCACTAGTGTTTGGCAGGTGTGTTGCTTTATGACTTCAACTCATTGTGTATATCTTCACCTTCCCAGCTCTATTAAAAATTTCTTAAGGGTAGGGACCATAGAATAGATTTGTTTCATATCTTCTAAAGTGCTACACATAGGAGGAACAATATAATGCAGGAATAATGATAACAATAATAGCGTTTACTCTATGCAGGCAGTTTACATGTCTTAAGTATATTATCTTGTTCAATCTTCCAACAGCCCTCAGAAGTAGATACTATCCACATATTAGTGTGGAGGAACCTGACGCACAAAGGCATTGAGTAATGCCCAAGCTCACATAGGGGAGCTAGGACTCACCTCAAGGCAGACTGACTCCAGAGCCCACGTTCTCTTAACCATTCTGCTACTGCCCAAGAGGTTTTATTTGAGGTTATATGGGCATGATAGGACCAAACTATGTATGGAGTTTTCTATACCTTGCAGAATTTTGATGCAGTAGGCCCTTCATAATTAAGTATAACATCTTAGGAAAACTAAGGTATTAGCAGTATTGAAGATTAATTGAAGGTGGACATCACGTGCCAGTGTAAAAGGATAGGGTGGCCAGATTAATGGCATTTAGTCAAATGACTCTTAGTAAATTTTTTGCCCAGAAGACAAAGGAATGATGTTATTAATGACAGAAAGTTTCAGATGTTTCAATATGAATATTGGTGCTGAAAGTTCTCTTTAGAGGGTATTAACATTTTTTAATTTATGTCATTTTAAAAATAATATTTTCTTAGAGATAGGAGACAGTATAGTTGGCATTTATACATAATTGATATTTTTAATAACAGCTTTATTGAGATATAATTCACAAAAATAAAATTCACCCTTTTAAAGTGTACAAGTCAGTGGATTTTAGTATATTCACAGTGTACAGCCATCTACAACTATCTAATTTCAGAACATTTTCATCAGTCCCAAAAGAAACCTCATATATGACTGATATTTAACTTAGAGAGCAGTCCATCTTTTATCTGAAAATGAGGAAGTGACATTCTTGATTCAAATGGATAGTAGCTGACTCAATCATATTTAGCCAGTTTACTAATTAGATCAAGATTTGATACAAAGACTAGATTAGGAACACATTGCCTAAGTTATTTTTATCTTTTAGCTATTGAAATCCCCAAGCATTTGATTTACATATTTAAGTAATTCTTTATGTCATAAACAAGGTGTGGCTCAGCAAATCTTTTCTTTAATGTAAAGTGTTTGTTTTTAATATCAACATGATCTTTTTGTTAAGTATTAGAAGAGAAGAATGGTAAAATCTAACCTGTATAAACTACCAAGAAAATAATTCTAGGAGATGTCTAGAGTTTGTCTAGAAACTTTAATCACTTTCCCCTTTCATTTAAGATGCCAGTGACAGTGGACGTTCTTATAAAACAGTCCTGGACCGTTGGAGAGAGTCTCTCCTTTCTTCTGCTAGTCTATCCCAAGTCTTTCTTCATCTTTCCACCTTGGATCGTAGTGTGATATGGTCTAAATCTATACTGAATGCTCGCTGCAAGATATGCCGAAAGAAGGGCGATGCTGAAAACATGGTGCTTTGTGATGGCTGTGATCGGGGTCATCATACCTACTGTGTTCGACCAAAGCTCAAGGTATTTTTTTCTTCTTCTACTTCTCCAATTAGAATTAAGACATTGAGATTTTGAGTGACAGATGATTAATAATCATTTATGTGATTTTTCAGACTGTGCCTGAAGGAGATTGGTTTTGTCCAGAGTGTCGGCCAAAGCAACGTTCAAGAAGACTCTCCTCTAGACAGAGACCATCTTTGGAAAGTGATGAAGAGATGGAAGAGAGTATGGAAGGTGAGGATGTTGAAGTTGATGATGATGATGAAGAAGGTCAAAGTGAAGAGGAAGAATATGAGGTAGAACAAGATGAAGATGACTCTCAAGAAGAGGAAGAAATCAGGTAAGTCCTAACATGCAATAAAACAAGAATTTGTGAGTCTTATCTAGATAATCTCTTGACTATTCAAATAGTCAAGTGGAATGGTTGGGGTCCATAATTTTTTTAAAATTAGTGTGTAATATAGTGGTCTGAAGTTACCTTGCTTTATGGATTGTAAACATTTGAAATTATTCTCAAGGGAGTATAGTACCTATGTAAGTTTAGCTAGATCATAAAATCAAGTATGAGTTCAAGTTTGGACAGGAATGCCAATTCAGACCCATATCAAGGTTGATTTTACTTAATTTTATGCCTAAAGCAGCAAATAAACAGTCCAGAGGCTATTCATGAGATAAAGATGAATGCAGCTTCCCAATGCCTCTCTTCCTTTCTCAAGGAGTTATACCCAAATATTGGTGATCTTGGCAGTCTACAGAGAGCGAGATGCCAGGAAGCACCTTGTATTTTTATACTTCTACCACATCAGCACCCGGAAACAACTTCTATACTACCATATAACCAAGTGTTCTGCAACTTAGCGAGCTGTGTCACCCAGGCCTAATGAATGGGTTTGGGGCCTGGTTGTTCCTTCTGTGGCACACTGGGGCAATCTCCCCTTATTTGTCACTAAGACCTCCCCCACTTTTTAACATTTGAACATTCCCATTCATGTGGAATCAGGAAAGTGAATGTGAAGCAAGGGCAACTTAGAACTGACGGAGCACAAAAGGCCACAGTCTGAGGAGGATACGTAGAGAGAGCCATCCCAACAAGTCGGGTTTTTGTGTGTGTGTGTGTGTGTGTGTGTGTGTGAGAGGAAGATCAGCCCTGAGCTAACATCCGTTGCCAATCCTCCTCTTTTTGCTGAGGAAGACTGGCCCTGGGCTAACATCCATGCCCATCTTCCTCTACTTTATGTGGGACGCCACCACAGCATGGCTTGACACGTGGTGCGTCGGTGTGCGCCCACGATCTGAACTTGCGAACCCCAGGCCGCCGAAGCAGAGCACATGCACTTAACTGCTGTGCCACCAGGCGGGCCACCAAATCGTTGTTTTTTAATAGCTGCAACTAGCAGGAGCCATCTTCCCTATCGCTTATAAGGGCAGTATTGTGTTAAGCATAAAGATGGTAAAGAATTTGGAAAATTCTTGGAAATGTTTTAGGTAAACTGCAGTCCAGGTATGTGGGAAGATGGGATTGTTTCATACTTGTCTACAACTTAAAGGCAATTAAAAGATTGAATCTAATTTTGTATTTTACAGTTAGAATCAGAAGATGGCAAAGAGCTTCTTGGCTTGGTATTCAGGAACCACAGGTTTAAGGCTAACTTTAGTGGCAGCCATTGGCCAAGACCGTAGGTTACCTCAGTATCAATGGTAATGAAAACTGACAGTTTTCTGTAGCATAAGGAGACAAAAGATTTGCATTTTAAGATTAGTTCATCACTCTTTTAAGGTTTTCAACGTGGTTAAGTCCACGTGTTAGTTCTCTTGAGGATTTTATTATAGTGTATCATAATTTAGGATTTCATTTTCATGATGATGTCCTGGAGTTACCAAGAAAATATTAAATACTCTCTTTGCATTACAAAGAAATACATGAAAGCACATTTTAGATTTCTATGAAAAATTTGTTGGCTCTAAGTTTACAGGATTTAGTATAGGATAAGTCTCAGTAATACAGAAAAGTAATGTATGTAGAACTCGTTGGCTGAATAGTAGAACAAGGGGAATAGAGGTAATCATATGTTCATCATTGCTCTGTACAGTAATTGTGTTGTCTAACAATATTTGTAGCCCACCAAAACGAGGAAGACCGCAAGTTAGATTGCCGATTAAAACAAGAGGGAGACTTAGCTCTTCTTTCTCAAGTCGTGGCCAACGACAAGATCCTGGAAGATATTCTTCAAGGAGTCAGCAGAGTACACCCAAAACAACTGTTTCTTCTAAAACTACTGGTAGAAGCCTAAGAAAGATAAAATCTGCTCCTGCTACAGAAACTAAATCTTTAAGAATTGCCAGTCGTTCGACTCGCCAGAGTCATGGCCCACTGCAAGCAGATGTATTTGTGGAACTGCTTAGTCCTCGTAGAAAACGCAGAGGCAGGAAAAGTGCTAATAATACACCAGAAAATAGTCCCAGCTTCCCTAACTTCAGAGTCATTGCCACAAAGTCAAGCGACCAGTCAAGATCTCTAAATGTAGCTTCAAAACTTTCTTTCCAAGATAGTGAATCCAGGAGAAGAGGCAGGAAAAGACAATCTACAGGTATGAAGTCTAATTGAAACTGTCCTTACCTAAGAAAATTGAATAATTTGGAAAGATTGAAGGTTGAGATCCTTTGAATTATTTTTTAAAGGCCGTCTCTAAGATATACAAAGTTGTTAGGGAGCAACCTGACCTGAAACATAATATTCATTGAAGGGGCAGCTATTTGGGGAATAAAGGTAAACTATATTACTAGTATTTCTACTAGTGTAGCCTGGTGGTTGTAAGAAACTTGCAGACATGTTCTGTTTTTTTGGGGGGGTTTTTTTTTGTGAGGAAGATCAGCCCTGAGCTAACATCTGCTAATCCTGCTCTTTTTGCTGAGGAAGACTGGCCCTGGGCTAACATCTGTGCCCATCTTCCTCCACTTTATATGGGACACCCCACAGCATGGCTTGACAAGTGGTGCCTCGGTGCGCTCCCGGGATCCAAACCTGGGCCGCCAGCAGCGGAGCGCACGCACTTAACCGCTATGCCACGGAGCCAGCCCCAGTGTTCTGTTTTTAATGGAGAAATTTGGCCAATATTTGAACAGTCTCAGTATAACACATTATAACACATTTCATTCTCTTCTACCTTTTCCTCCTTCAAAACACACATACTACCCATCATCACCTAGACAAGCTACGTTAGGTTATTTGGTAAGGTTCCCATCTGACATACAGAATTTGTGGGCAGGAGAGAGTTGGGGGCAGTAATATTGTTAGCATTGATCACCAGCTATCTTTTTAATTCTGATAATTGTTTATAGTCATCTTTATCCATATAATAATCTCTTTATCCATTTATCTCTTCAATCCTATCTTTTTTTTCAATGTCAGTAGTAATAAAACTTTAACATTTCCAAAAAATGAAGTTAAGCATAAAAAATTGAACTGTAGATGGGTTGTACTGCCATCAAACACATGGCAGGATTAAGGAATTCATTGGTGAAAGAATAAAACATAATTTGTCTGTTTATGCCGCCCCCCCCGGTTGTCAGGTTTGGGGGGAGTATCAGGTAACTTTGCACCAAGATCTAATTCATCCCCTTATCTATTTTGCTCTTGTACGATTCTGAGCTCCAAGCTATTTGGAAAAATAATACATCTGAAACATTTTCATTCAAAAAAACTCTACTGAGAAAAAATTTTTGTTGTTGTTAATTGATTTGTGAAATTACTAACCTGCTTCTAAGGACAAATAAAGAAGGAAATGTGTAGATTTACATTTAAGTAGAGAATTTAAACACTTGAATTCATCTATGGACTATACTACCCTTTTCTACTAATTCATATACCTTAGGTTTCATTATATACACCTTAGATTTTATGAGAAAGCATTTTGCTTTAAGAAAATTCTTCATATAAAATTAAGATTTATGTGAATAATCTTTTACTTCATCATTGAGAATTACTTTTCTATTATGCAAGGTAATTTATAAAGCGGCCTAATATAGATCTGAAGAGGTTACTTTCCTAAGAATGTGTTTCAGGAAATACTGGAGAATTGTTTATTTTCATTTTACTGTAGTTGAAAACATACTTTTAATACACTGGGGTGGGCCGGCGCCGTGGCTTAGCAGTTGAGTGCGTGCGCTCCACTGCTGGCGGCCCAGGTTCGGATCCCAGGCATGCACCGACGCACCGCTTCTCCAGCCATGCTGAGGCCGCGTCCCACATACAGCAACTAGAAGGCTGTGCAACTATGACATACAACTATCTACTAGGGCTTTGGGGAAAAAAAATAAATAAATAAAAATTAAAAAAAATAATAATAGTACACTGGGGTAAAAAGCAATCTACAAACTTGGTGTTCTAGAATTTTCTTTTGTATTACACTCTTTACAATCTGTTACCAATGAAAGTTTAAATTTTTTTTTAAATTTTTTCATTTATTTATTTATTTCCCCCAAAGCCCCAGTAGATAGTTGTATGTCACAGATGCACATCCTTCTAGTTGCTGTACGTGGGACGCGGCCTCAGCATGGCTGGAGAAGCGGTGCGTCGGTGCGCGCCCAGGATCCGAACCCGGGCCGCCAGCAGCGGAGCGCGCACACTTAACCACTAAGCCACGGGGCCGGCCCTAATGAATGTTTAATTCAATTGGAAATTTTTAAGATCGAAAGGGACATAGTGAATATTTGGTCCAGATTTTCATATTTCTCAGCATGTCAGTTTGACATCTCAATGGATAGAGTGTCGATTTTCTGTTTGAATTTAGTTTGTATTTATATGACCTGTTTAGCTTATGATGATTAAATATTTTGCCTTGCCATCACCTAAAATTAATTTAATTGTTTATTCAGAATCCTCTCCTGGAACAGTGAATCGAAGGAGTTCAGGCCGACAGGGAGGAGTTCATGAATTGTCTGCTTTTGAACAACTTGTTGTGGAATTGGTACGGCATGATGACAGCTGGCCTTTTTTGAAACTCGTTTCTAAAATCCAGGTAATATTAGACTTTATAAAATGTATTAATGTATATTATCTGATTTAGTCTGTATGGCAACTTCGAGGTAGTCAAAACACCTGTTAGTCGCTGTCTACTTTTTTTTGGAGGAAAAAAAACACTTGGAAGGTTGGTTCCTGTATTGAAAAAATGAAGTTAGTATAGTCTCCTCAGTCCCTTCTAATCCTGTGACTGATTCTTGTAAATGATGACAGTGTGTTGAAATAACCTCAATATTTTTATTCTATGTAATGAATATGAATAGAGTTAATTCAACTGAGTACCGTTATTGATATTTCTATTATGTAAAACAGTGGTTCTCAAATTTCAGCATACAATAATCACCTGGAGGTCTTGTTAAAACACAGATTACTGGGCCCCACCCCAGAGTTCCTGATTCACTAGGTCTGGGATGATACCCAACCATGTGCATTACTGAGAAGTCCCCAGATGATGCTGATGGCGCTGGTCCAGAGACCACAGTTTGAGAAACGTTGATGTAAAAGATAGGTACTCTTAAAAAACAGAGATGGCCTAATCTAACTAAGGGATGTGAGATGGCGCTGTAGTTACTTATGTATGTATGGCAGAAGGTGATGTGCTACACACAGTTACAGTGCTACAAGAGAAGTTACAGTGGTCTTTCAGAAGTAGAGGAGAAAAGGAGGTTGATGAAAGCATTTCAGAGGGAGGGAATAGTAGGAATTAGAAAGTTTTTAATGGAAGAACTATTTGTTCTGGTCATGCAGAAAGATGGAATTTCAACAGTGAAAAAGGGAATAAGGACATTTCAGGAAGAGGGAACGATAAGACTCAGACCCAGAAATGAGAATATGGGGACTGATGGGTAGTTTGAATGGAACAGAGGGTGTGTGAGAGAGGCTCAGACACAACTAGATTATAAAGGGTCTCACTTGTCAGGGTTAGGTGACGGTTTCTGAGTGAAAAAGTGACATCATCAGAATTCTACTTTGAGATTTCTAGAGCAAGAATGTGAAAGATTAATTAATATTGAATTGCATCTTATAAAAATTAAATCTCAGTTTGACTCTAGCTCATTTTTCCTAAGTAGTTTTTGTGCTGAATTAAGTTTTGTTACATACATTTTAACTATTTGTTACAAATGCAATAATGCTCATTAAGGGAATTTTTATAGACACATATATGTATCTATAGAAAGAAAAAGAGTGAGGAGGAGAGCATACAACCATAATCTTTTTCTTTTCACAATAAATTAACATTTTTTATAGTATCAAATGAGCTTCTGCAACATTATAGTGACTGAAATGTATTATGTGGTTTTAATGAAATAATATATTCAGAGGTTAATATTCAGTTGCTTTTAAGTGCAAAACCTTCAGGTATTTGACCACTTATCTCTGATAGATTTTCTATAGGAGAGATATATTTGAATTATTTTACAGGTCCCAGACTATTATGACATCATCAAAAAGCCCATTGCCTTAAATATAATTCGCGAAAAAGTGAACAAATGTGAATATAAATTAGCATGTAAGTAATTTATGTTTTTCTCTAATTATTTTTGTTTAAAGAGGTACAGGCTGTTTTTCTTCTCTTTTTTTTTTTTTGATGATTTTTTTTCCCCGCCAAAGCCCCAGTAGATAGTTGTATGTCATAGTTGCACAGCCTTCTAGTTGCTGTATGTGGGACGCGGCCTCAGCATGGC